AACTGCCACTGCTTGATGAAGGTTTTGTTGCACATCTGACACTTAAACGGACGCTCTCCAGTGTGGACGCGGCGGTGGGCCGTCAGGCTCATAGACTGGCGAAAAGTCTTGCCACAAAGGTCACAGCTGTGGGGGCGCACGCTGCTGTGGATCCTCTGATGGTTCTTGAGGCTGATGGCCTGCTGGAAGGTCATGGGGCAGTCCTCGCACTTGTACATTTTCTGCCCCGTGTGAATAAGTTCGTGGCTTTTAAGGTTGTTGGCACGAGTGAAACTTTTCCCGCACACGTCACACGCAAAAAGCTTGGTGCCGGTGTGCGTGAGTGCGTGGCGGTCCAGGTCCCGCCCAAGTCTGAAGTGTTCACCGCAGATCTCACAGCCGTGTGGTTTCTCACTGGTGTGAATCAAACAGTGCCTCTTCAGCAGCCACTGCTTGGTGAAAGTCTTTCCACACTCTGAACACTTGTGCGGGCGTTCCCCTGTGTGCAGGCGTATGTGGCTCAGCAGGCTCTTCCGGAGGCAGAAGGTACGACCACAGAAAGTACAGAAGAAGGGTTTCTTATCCGTGTGGACATGTTTGTGAGCCTTTAGGTCAGCGTGGGTCTTCAAGGACTTCCCACACACGGTGCAGACACAGCATGAAGAGTCTGGTGACTCCTCCTCTGGTTCCAGGGGAGTAGGCTGAGTGACTTCAACATGTGCACCTGCAGGAGGATTGACAGAATGGTCATAATATCATAATAATAAGGAATACATGATAGAAATGATGAGAATTTGTAGTATATGCATGAAAACATGAACTCACCCTCGTTGATGACTTCTCCCTCGAGGTTCCCGTGCTCGTCTTTAACTGTGACCTGTAACACAAACGAAGCCTCCGTCTCTTCCAGCTCTTGTTTGATTGTCTGTGGAGTCTGGAATTTTCATCAAAAAATTAAAAAAAAACAAGTCATTGAAGGCAGCACAGAGGAACTGAAAAATGTGCAGGATTCTGGCTAATTCACACCTGAACTATCATGTTTGTCACGTCGTCATCCTGCTGGGACTCAGTATTCAAGAGTTCCTGCTCTACAAATCAACACGTTGGACAGAACGTCAACAAAAATTGGTTGTGAGATGCTTTCTTATGACTGGCTAAATAACATACCAACATAATAAACATACCAAATTTTGCCTTGACGGGCAAACTGGTCTGAGGCCTCTCATTGGTCCTTGTCAAGTGCAAGGCTTCTTCCATGATGCTCATCATCTTGTTGAGAGCTTCATTACCCAGTTTCTCCATGATGGAGGTAAAGACCACCTGAGGTCAGACCAGGAACGATTCTGTGATCTCCTCTTTTTTCAACATGTTTAAAATCATGTTACAAATGATTATTGTTGGTATTGATCCGTGGTCTCCCTGCAACTACTGAAAGCCATGTCACCATGGTCCATAGAAAAGAATTAGTTTGCAGACAAACGTAGTTACATACTGACGTAGTTCAACAAATTACAAATAACTTCATACATTAAAAAAAGTAAAATGACTAACTCGGCGTTAATTTCAATACGAATGACTCAGACAGTAACCTCAGACACTCCCATCTCCAGCTCCTCACCATTACTTCCCGGCTCTCCTGCTTCACTGTGCCCGGCAGAGGCTTCTCATCCTCAGCTAAGTCGGCCTGGACCGTTAGTCGGAGGTGAAAGCCTGCATCATCCTCCAGCAGCTTCCTGAGCTGATCCACAGCAGCGTGGACCATACACTTAATGACGGTCGTCAGCTGCGTGTGCAGTGGCACAGGAGAGGAGCTCATCCCGCTGACTGTAGCTGCGGCTCCCGCTGAACCTTCGCCGCTTGGTCCCGGGAAACTTGTCAGGCACCACGTCATGCGTGCATGTGTTCAGTGAAAAAAGTTAAACGAATTTAAGTAAAAAAAAAAAAAAAAATTAAAATCAACACAGAGCGACTGTCAACAAAGTAAACACATATCGGGAAGTAGTGTGCTGCATTTCCGATTTATACCGGAAATAGCTTCTACGGAAGCCGAGGACTAAGTCAGACAAGAAAATTGTAGTCTGCTCATTTAAACTCACAGAATTGATTTTATCTGAGCGTAATTAATACTAACAGTTTAAACTACCCCAACACTGTAAATATACGGAGCCCCTGAAGGGACACGGGAAAATAGATTAACGTTCCTGGTGCGTACCTGAAAATGTTTTCCCGTGTCTCTTTTGAAAAACACAAGCAGTTCAGAATTGTTGAACTATTTAACTTTTTATCTATTATGAATAAGTTACTTTTATCAGTCAAGTGATTCTAGTAAAATATTTTATTTAAATTTAGAGTAATGTGATGCACAGATACACTATAAACTTTAAAATATATTTTCCAACAACTTGAAATTCCAGTATCAATCCTTATTTATTGGATTTTTCATAAGAACCCATTTGAGCAGAAAGCCTGAACATCAGGTTGAAAACAAAATGATGACCCCATCCTTACAGAGATCAGTCAGTCAAACTAGAAAAGAAATTGTTTTGCAGTTGGAATAAATGACCACCAGTGTAATCTGAATGATCTGTGGGGAGGTTACAAACCTCTTTGAAACTCTTTGTTTAATTCTGTTTTTTGTAACTAATGTAATAATGTTGGCAAATATTTGTCAGTCCAGACAAATACCACAAGCATGTTCTGGACCTGTTGTCGTGCACATGTCAAGCGTAGCTGCATTTGTGCAGCTTCAGGTTGCGTTGATCTGAGTACGTCTTCCCACACTTGTCACAGATGTACTGTTTACCACCAGCATGGACGTGACGTTTGTGTGTGCGCAGGTGGCTGCCCTGGCTGAACGTCTTGCCGCAGTCATTGCAGGTGTATGGCTTCTCGCCGGTGTGCACCCTTTGGTGCAGCTTCAGACTGTTGGCGTTGTTGAACTTCTTGTCGCAGCAGTCACAGGAGAAGGGCCTGTCGGTGGAGTGCGTGCGGCCGTGAGCCATCAGGCTGCTCTGCTGGCTGAAGGTCTTACCACACTCCTGGCACTTGAACGGCCTCTCGCCCGTGTGGACACGGCGGTGGACCTTTAGGTTTATGGATTGGCGGAAGGTCTTGCCACAGAGGTCACAGCTGTAGGGCCGCAGGCCACTGTGGATCCTCTGATGGTTCTTCAGATTGATGGCATGTCGGAAAGACTTATGACAGTGTTCACACTTAAAAGGCTTCTGTCCAGTGTGGATGAGCTCATGGCTTTTAAGGGTGACGGCACGAGTGAAGCCTTTCCCACAAACCCCGCATACAAAGAGCTTCTTGCCCGTATGTGTGAGTGCATGCCGCTGCAAGTTCTGTGCGAGGCTGAAGTGTCGACCGCAGACGTCACAGCCGTGTGGTTTCTGGCCTGTGTGGATCACGGAGTGCGTCCTCAGCTGTGCCTGTTTGGCGAAGGTCTTTCCACACTCGGTGCACTTGTGCGACCGCTCGTCAGAGTGCAGGCGGGCGTGGCTAAGCATGCTTTGCTCCAGCCGAAAGGCGCGTCCACAGACACTGCAGAAGAATGGCTTCTCACCCGTGTGGACTCGGTAGTGCTCCTTCAAGTCCCCATGTGATGTGAAAGCCTTTCCACAGTCCGGGCAAACAAAGAACTTCCAAGAATCGTTCTGCAGAACAAACTCAGGCGATTCTTCCTCATCCTGCACTTCCAGAGTGATAGGCTGAGTGGTTTCTACATCTACCTCTGTGGAAAAAAGATTAAGACAACATTGACATTAATATGCTGCAGCTTTTTCAGTTATCAAATAAGATGAGAAAAATAGATTCAGAAACCGGAATATTTGAGACTGATATGAATCAAAAACAGCGTACTCTCAGCGACGGATGTCAGGTCTGGATTTCTCTGCTCATCTTTAACAGTAATAACAAATGGAGCATCCTTCTCCTCCTGCTCCTGTTTGACTCTCAGTGCAGTCTGGGATGTCAAAAAAACAGACAGGTCAGGGAAGGCAGCATGGACAAACAGGAGAATTAGCAGATTACCAAATAAACGTCAGACCTGAATTCTCTCGTTGTCCACCTCATCACTCTCCTGCGGCAGGCCGTACGAGTGCTCCTGCTCTGTGAAAGACAGAGTCAGAGTCCAGGTCAACACAGTCCCATCACAATGTCATTTTTTAGACTAATGTTGAAAAGTGTTTACACACCAACTCGTGTCTTGTTGAGGATAGTTAGGATGCTGGTCTGCGGGTTGCTGCCACTCTTTGCAAAGTGCAGCGCCCCCTGCAGTTCGGCTTCATCTATAATGTTCATAATCTTGCCCAGAGCCTCGTTCCCCAGTGTCTCCATGATGGAGACAAACAACAACTGAGGACAGACGACAGATACTCCATTTGGCTCAGGTTTTAATCTTTAAGTTTAAACATCATCTCGTATTTGTTTTATTCTTCTTCTAAGACATATTCCTGTTCGCTCATGGAGAAACTGAAGCCATTCTTAGACGAACAATTCACACTTTAATGAATTTCTTCTTTCCACTTAAAACCGAACCCCTAAAAAATTGGATTAATAATAATTTATTATAACGTCTATTTATTTACAACCCCTAATTTGACATGACCGACTCTCCAGCTCTTCCTCACCATCTTCCTTCGCCTCTCCTCAACTCTGCTCGTCAGACGCTGCTCCTCCTCAGCTCCGTTGGTCTGGACCGTTAGTCGGAGGTCAACGTCTGCATCATCCTCCAGCAGCTTCCTGAGCTGATCCACGGCAGCGTGGACCAGAGACTCCATGACGGTCGCCAGCTGCGTGTGCAGCCGCACAGAAGTAGAGCTCATCCCGCTGACTGTAGCCGCTGCACCGCCTTACCCGGGAGGAACCTCTCCAGCACTGTGAGGAGCATGCACTGAGCGAAAGGGCCATCAGTGTATTAAAACAACAACAACAACAACAGAATAACTTATAACATAAACAAAACACAGTCGGGCGCAGTATATTAAGCTTCCGGGTTTAACCGGATATAGATTCTACGGAAGCCGAGAAAAAACGCGCAGCACGGCGAGGAGGTGAGAATGACATCTGCAGTTCAAATCTGAGTTTTTATTAATGCAACTTTACACCGTTTCAAGAAACGAGCCAGAATAAAACGACAGTTAATGTAAGTACTCGCGATTCCGCTAAAAAAACCTTCTTATTCAAAGACGCATTTGTTTTTGTCACATTAAACCGGGAGTTTTGACACTGTTTTGTATTATAGAAAATAGTCTGGTGATAAAATCTTTCAGTTCTTTTTACTTGTTTTTAATATAAAATGAAATGTATCAACTTTGAGTCGTGTAGAGAACAGAGTAGAATAGTAACATCAATGTTTACGTCCTTTCTAGTCATATAGTCCCTGTCGCGTATTGTACAAAGTTAATATATATTTGTATCAAATCTTCCCAACATTCTACATTTCTCTCAACTGCAGAACCAGAACTAGACCGGTCCAGGTTAGTCCAGAGCACCAGTCATGCTGGGTCCTCTGAGGATTTTCAACTCAACAAAATGTGCTTTGACCCGCAACAGCTCCAGCTTTGTCTCCAGGATGAGGTGCATTTACTCCCACAGACCGACTGATCTCTGATGATTGGTTAACATACTATTGACTGATTGTCTGCTCAGGTACATGAACCATCTGAAGGAGGATGACGCAGGATGTGCAGCGGCGTTAGAACGTGGTCTTGTTTTCCTCTTCCACTCTTTGTCCCCGTTCCTCCGACGTACAGAGAGAGGAACGTTTAGACCACCTGCATTAAATGTTCCTGGTACAAGAGCTACATATGTTGACCAGAGAACCTGTTGGGAGTCTGTAGACCAACTCACTCAGTCTCCCTGTTCCAGATGTACAGGCAGTTCTGGAGAGACTCGGTGCAGACAGATCAGTGGTCAAGGATTCAGTTCTGATTGGCTGCTCTGAGCAGAACCAGGCTCAGTTCTGTTTAGATGTTGGTGAGCAGACCAGGATCTCACTAACCTGACTAAAGAGCTGCCACTGAGTGGGTGTCTGAATGACTGTCTGGTGTTTCCCTGCAGGAGAACTGGATCAGGCAGCACTAGAAGAAGAATGTCAAGGAAACTTCATGGAACTCCGAAAGTCGTTTTTCCTGTTGTCTGGAGCAGAAGTGCCTCTTGTGGCCAAGGTTAGGAGCTGCAATGGAAACATAGCATCTGATCCTTTGGGGTGGGGGGGATTGTGGGGGGTTACATATTTCAGGCAGTGAATACTAATGCTGGTCCTCATTGGTCCTACAGGGTC